TCTCTCTCACCTGTCTCTCTCTCTCTGTCTGTGCAGATCTCTTGGCTGAGGGTGAGTATTGTATTGACAGCACTCTGCTAGACTTTATTTTTCAATACCCAACTTTTGGCTTTCTACCTGTTCTTTTTTCTTTGTGTCAAGCTATTTTCACCGTAAGCTCCTAAAACCTTCCTGCTAAGCCTGTCTATTTTAATTTTTCTGTCTCTTTGACACTGCCTTCTTCCTCCCATTTCTTTTTTTCTCTTATTTCTCTCTTTCGGGGGTTGTGACTGGGTCGTGGCATTTGGATTACGGGGTTTATCCGCATAGCAACTCCGGCTGTCTCCGATGAAGCCTCTGAAGCTCTCCTGGCGGAGGGAGAGTCCGCTGATGCTGATGCTGATGCTGCAGCCACTGCTGCCCCTGCAGCTTCCGCACCCACAACCGCCGTTGCCGCCGCTCCCACTGCCACTGCACCGGCTCCCGCCTCTCTGCCTATCTCAGCTCCCGCCACCACCACAGCCACAGACCTCGATCTTTTCGGAGGTCAGTCTGGTCCAAGGATAGGATGTAGACCAGGATACACAGCATTACAGGAAACCCCCTTAGTGTTTACTTTCCTTTAGTATAAAGTTGGTATATAGAGGATTGGGATTTGATTATCACTTACTAAACTGCTAATATATTCATAAGGAGTGCTACATTATAAAACCACAAAAGGTCTATAGGCTTTCGTCTAATCAGATTACAAATTTATGTGCATTCAAAGTGTATAAATGTACATTATGACAAGAAGATAACACCTTAGCCCCAGTTTGTGCCTCTCGTGTATTACCATCACATTCTAGTCACAGAGATGCATTTTTCAAATAAGGACTCACCCGGCAGTCTTTGAAAATTGTTTGACAACACTTACTGCTTTCAAAGGCATTCAAAGATTGCCGGGTATATATTTTTCAGAAAGTCAGATGCTGTGACTAAACTCTGATGGTTTTCTATCCTAACCTTTTTCTAATGTTTTAACATCCTGTTACAACCATGTACACTAACTTTCTGACATAATGTCAAACTGTCACACACTGTTTTGCATTGAGCATAGAGCAAAACATTTACCATTTGTGGCACATCCCTAAAATATGAGCCAGTATGGTGGATGAAGGGGATTACTTACTTTTCTCTGGGTTTATTCAAAGCTGCACAAAAACACTAATGATGTTTTCACATTAATGTGTTGTAAACATTTAGTGTTTTGTCATTATTGTGTGCGCCTCAATAAACCCACTGCAATGTAATTAATCTGTTATTATGACTTGTATTTTGGGGATTGGCTGCTTTTTGATTTTTTTGTTCATCACCCTTAATGATTTTCTCCCTAATGGCCTACTAACGGTTTCATAAATGTGTCAAGGTGGGGAGCAGCTGGATTTAATTTAATTTAGTAAGAGCTGAAAAGAGCCAAATGAGTTTCTTTGTCAAAGAGAGAACTTGCCTCGTCCATCCCTGACATTTTCCCTCTTGTCACAGAGTACAAGTAACTTGTGACAACTTGTTTCATTTCACAAACCTGCACAGGTAGTGCACTCACTGAATGCAGCATTATGCAGCCCTTCAAAACGGATGGTACAATCAGATCATTCACTGCGGGAGCCGGGCTGCATATTTCTTGTATTCTCTGCTTTTTCCTGATGCTGACCTCTCATTTTTGTTTCCTGTCCATTCCATCTGTTTACTCATCTTTTGTTCGTAACATCCATGTGTCTGTCGGTGTGTTGGCCCCGGTGTTATGTTTTTGCGTTTGCGTTCCGGCTGTTTTCGTCTGCAATACCCTAGATGCGTTTGCACCTTCCCCAGGAGATGGTCCTGCCGCCGTGGCCGCGGGCCCTGCTGCTGATGCGTTTGGTGGATCTGGTGGGTGACAAAACAGCTTTTTGGGCAAGTGTGTGAGTGTATGGATGTGTGTGCAGATGTGAAAGCTGTTGTTGCTTTTATTATATTAAAGCTGCTTCTGCTTCCATAGGAGACAGTAGAACAAACACGTGCCCCCAGGGCCTACTGTCTCACCCCAAATCCTGCTCTAATGCCCCAGTCATGGACCCTCCCCTCCCTCATCTCGACTACTCTTTTCCTCCTAATATTCACCCAGTGAATACTACAGTAAAAAGCACAGCTATGAACCATACTGTAGTACTAGAATGAATACCACTTGTTGTTAATACCCTGACCCTGATACTACCTGATTATGATGATTATCATAATCATTGTCAAACCTTTTTTCTTTTTCAGTTTTTAGTAACTCTCTCTTTGGCCGAAAATATATAGGAAGACAATGACTGGAACAAAGCCAGTGCAATTCTATCTCGCAAATTAGCTATTTTAAATAAACTATAAACTTTAAGATACATTTAGTTTGTGTATAGCATACTAACCACAGCAGTAACACAGTGCAGTTTGGCATTTACTTTATTCTGCGCTTGAAAACGAAAAGAAAGTAATTGGATCTGTCCGCTATTTTCTGTCACGGGTGAACTTCAACCAATCAGATCAATAAACTGTAGTCAAACTCTCACTGAAGCTGTTGGGAGAAGAGCGGGAGAAGAGCTGGAAAAGAGCCGTTCTTTTCTCTTCCTTCAATGAAAAAATACTCTTATATGCTAGCAGCATCTATGCTAATCTCTTTAACAGTCGATATCGTTGTTTTTGAGCAAATAGTCACACACGTTGTCAGAAACCAGGTGTTAAACCACACCGTAGCTCACACCGTAGCTGCCAGTAGTTCCTCGTAGGATGCTGATTGGTCAAGTACCACTGTGGTTCAGACACAGACACATAGCTTGAAGCCTGGCAGGACGGATTCTCGTGTGATCTCGTGATCTAGCAAGTCCAACTGCCTCGCAAGGTTAAGGCACACATGGATAAAAGACCAATTTGGAAAGTTAACCTAATATTGTTCTACACTCCCAACTGTAGTCAGTTGTTATTCAGTAAAGAATTCTTCCCCACTGTCTGTTGTAACCTGTGGATGCAGTCAATGAGTGACCGTGTGCTTGGTTTACTTTCTTTGTACCTACTCCTGATTTGGAGCTTCAGAGGTGTCTTGCCTCTTAAATATGCTTTTTACAGTGTTTGTTTCTTTAACAAACCCTCAATCCCCCCTTCCCCTTCCCCATCCAACCCCTTCCCTTCTTCTCTAATCATAACCCTCCCTAACCCTTTAACACCACCTCCCTACTGCTTTTCCTGAAGACCCCTTCGCTACGACGGAGGGGAGTGCGGACATTGCTCCAGAGCTGGACCTGTTCGCTATGAGGCCCACCGACACGGTGTCCACCACCATCACCCCTCCCACCTCTAGTGAGGCGCCGACCATCGTCGTCCCAATCGCTGCCCCCGCTGCCCCCACCCCTTCTTCCACCACCACCACTACCACCACAACCACCACCGACACCACCACCACAGAGTCTGCAGCCGCTCCGACTCTAGATATCTTTGGTGGTAAAGTCCTCTCGCTCTCATTATGCCTCTCACTGCATTGCCCTGCATTATGACGATGATGATGATATAGGATTTGATCATGATGATGCTGCTCTTGCTAGTGATGGTGATGACAGTAGTGACAATGATAATAACCTGCCCAGTCCCTACATTTCAGATTTGTTTTTCTATTTTCCATGGTGCCTTTCCTTCAGATACAGATCATTTAATCCAGTTAATCAAGCATCTTGACCTCCTCTGCACAATTGAAATATAAAAAAATCAATAAAGTCAATTGTGTATGCTTTTTTTTAAATTTTATTGATTATTATCTATTGTTTGGGGACCAGAATCTTAATGTTAATGTGGTGAATAACAGAGGTGGCTCAACTTGTTTTGATTGTTAACCTAATACTAACAAACAGACTGTCAACATTTAGAGGGAAGAAAACTGTTTTCTTCTCCTGCTTGTGACCAATGTTTTATTCCGACAGCTGAGAATGCCTTATTATAGCGTATGCACTTAAGTTAAAAGGGAATATTGCTCAATGTCAGAAATCGTATATGCTATGGGTTTCCCCTGAGTGCTCTAGTTTGGTCCCTCAGTCCTGACGTTAGGTGAATAGGTGACTCCTAGGTGCCCATATAAAGCTGCCCAATGTGAGCTGGGATGGGATCCAGCCCCCTTTGATCTTGCACAGAACAAGTGAGCATAATGAGTGAGCATATGCTATTCCTATGATCTGGAAAAAAGCAATGTGTAATTATTAGATTATATATTATTAGCTGTTTCTTATGCATAATTACGCATAGCTGCCATGAAATTTCTATGGACATTCGTGGTCCCAGAGGATGAATCCCACAGACTTTAGTGGTCTACTAATTTTTCCTCTGGCACCACCAGCAGGTCAAAGTTTATTTATTTATATTGTGAAATATCTTGACATCTATTGGATTGATTGGCGGAATATTGCGTACAGATAATCATATTTTCTTCCAAACATTTCGTCTTGCACCATGATTGGTTGACATCTTTGGTTAACCATGTCTACAATCATTTCTGGATTTATATTAAAAATGTTTTGATAATATGCAAGTCTTCATGCTGAAATTTGGCAATATACCCTTTTAACTTTTGCACTGTTTCATTTTGCATTGCACTGAACAGATACACAGCAGCTTACCTGTTTGATAATCAAAATGTCTGCTCTCTCTGCTTTTCCTCATCTCTCTTCTTAACTCATCATTGTATGCACTGGACTTGGAATCTGAATGTACATATGATTGTGTGTCCTTGTTCTTAGATATGTTTGATTCTATGCCTGAGCAAAGCCCTACCACAGAATCCAAAGCTGCTACCACTCCTAGCGTAGACCTTTTTGGTGCAGGTACAGGAGTTGATATCCATTTCTCTATGTGTGGAACCTCTTCATCTCTTCTGGTTTCCATACCTCCACTCCTCTGTCAACTGTTTTTTTTTCCCAACACGTCTTGGTTTGTCCCCCATAGTGGTATGAGAACTGTGCATGTAACCCACTCGTCAAGTCTTGAATTATCCTTGTGGCTGCTTTCTATCTAGACTGTCTTTCTACCTGCCACGCTAATACTTTTTTTTGCTTCCCGACCTCCACGGTTTTCTTCTTTCTCGTATTCTGCCTCTCGCTTGCATTGGTAAATTAGACCTTCCTGCTGTTTCACGCGGGCCCTCACCTTTGCCCGAGCCGGTTCCGGCTGGAGACATCGTGACCGGTGAGTTAAGCTGCTTCATCCTTACTGCATCACTGTTTTCCCTTCCTTTTTTCGTGAAGAGTGCAACCAGCCTCATGAAGGTTTTTGCATGGTGCTGGTGTCTGTATGCATATGCACACCAGTCCTGTACATCTAAATGGTGCACGCTTCAAGGATGTGGATACACAGTTAAGATGCAGGGGTGCCTGCTTTCTGCTCCTGCTTCTTTTCTGCATGTCTGCTAGCCTTTTAGAACAGGGTATGAGCAATGCATTCTCCCTGTGGAAATTAAGCTTTCACTGATGAATGTAGTCATTTACATTTGAGAGTAATTTAATCTCTTCCTTCTTTCTCTGTTCAGATTCATTTACATCTCCAGCTCCTGTTGCTGCTCCTGCTGCGGCTCCCGTCCCAGAGGTCTCCTCTCCACCCAAAGCAGCAGAGCCGGCACCTGTCATTGACCTGCTGGGTACTGTACCTCAGAACACACATACACATCTCTTTACAACAACATATGCTACATGAAAATTGTTCAATTTTAACTTTAGTAGTACATTTTATAATTTTACTTTTCTTTCTTCTGGGTTTTTTTAATCATTAGTTGTTACAGTAGGTTCATGAGTGAGTGTTTGTAGCAAAGAGGTTGATATTGTGTAGATGTGATGATAGACTGTAGGTGTTAGTGCAAAACGAATTTTAGCGTTTTTTGGATTAGACTGCAGACAGATCATAGATATAGAACAGGCAGTAGCTGGCAGTAGCCACCAGTGATATTCCCAAAGTAATTATTACATCGTCTGCTTGTGTGTGTCTCTGTCTCAAAGGGAAGTTTTATTTTAAAGTCAATTTTCTGTAGTGCTGAAATTTTAACCTACTGGAGTAAAAACAGGAGGTGTTCACCTTACTTGAGGATTTCAGCATGACGTGGCTAAAGGTATGTTAAAATATCCATCTGTTGGTCCAGCCTAGAGTGGATTGCCATAAAAAACATCGGAGACATTCATGATTCCCAGGAGATGAATCCTTGAATCAGGCTGACATCTTGCTCTTGAATCACAGTGAAATTTGCTACAGATATTCAGTCCCATAGACAGAGGAATGATAGTAATGAATACAAGTATTGTCGATATTCCATTTAATTTCAGCAATATCGTTGGACGGAATACAAGGATAGATTGATTTCTTCATTAAAAATGTATGAGAGGTGGTGTTGCATTATGATCCCTATGCAAGATTTTTCAATGTGATTTTCTTGCTAAACCAGTTTATACATGCAATACATTTATAATTTAACTAATAAAACCACAGTATTACAGGTAGTTTTGTGAGAAAGACAATCATTGCAACATAGTAAATCACATCTCCACAGCACCATGTGACATTATTTCAGATGTTTGAAAAACTGATAATATTCCCATCAGTCTCAGCTGGCCTTGCTGCTAAAATGCTAAACCTCACAGCCTCACAGAGCTGCTAGCATAGCTGTAGACGCTTTGTCTCGTTGCTGTGTATCACTCCTCCACTTCCACTTCCAAGAGAAATATAGCAACAGGTGGAAATGAAATGGTCTCAGATTCTTGCAGTTATGTTATGAAAATAGAACTGAGCATACAATGTATGTATTGAGGTAAATATTCTTCCCAAAAAGGAATGACAGAAAAGGTTCCATCATGGCTGAAAATCTTTCTCTATCCACTGTAACATTTCTTTTTCCTTAATGTCATTGACGTGACTTTTTCTTTTTTTTTTTTTTGCTTTACGAAGATAATCTTGTCTCCTACTCCCCATTGTTTCCCCGTGTGTGGTCCAGGGCTGACCTCTCACCCCTTTCTGCCCTCCATGCTGCATTGTGGATAACTGGACGGCCCTGCAGACTCCTTCGGCAGTCCTGTGGAGGAGACGCAGAGCGCTGCTCCTGGAGGGCCCGGAGACGACCTGTTGGGAGGTGAGACTCCTCTCCTCCTTTTTTGATTTTGCTGAAGTGATTTTTATATAAATGATGGTTCAAGTCAAAAGACCAGCAAATTTTGATAAGATGTCGGCTGTATAGCAAAGAGGTTTTTGCTGATTAAGAAATTATGCAGTAATGATGGAGATGCATTTATCAAATTAATAATGACACAGACTTGGCAGGACTGGTTAAATTATATTACACAGCAGCAGTTCCAAATTAGTTTTGGACTCATTTGAAAATGTCCTCCTAGTGATGTCATTGCCAATTTCTTGCCCATCTCATTTCTGTCACTGTTTTATGGCCACTAGTTCATGCATAAGAACACAGTTGTCTGTGTTATGACTTTTTTGTTGACCTTTGTACACTAACGAATAGAAAATTCTCAACACACCCAACATACAGCATGCATGCAGACAGATTCTGCTTGCATGGTAGCAGTTGTGAATATACTTTCAGTATGCTAAATCTGAATGCAGAACCTCATGTGCACCCAACCCTTTAGTCATAATGACTCATCCATGCAAGCACTCTATGAAGCTTCAGTATCACCTTGCAGTTTTACATTACATTGAAAACCTGGATGTACTGTACAGTAAGCTTTTGTGTGTAAGGTATACATCAGCACACCTAGACACGTTATGTATTTGTATTGGGCTGTCAGTGTACTTGTGACTGTAAAAAACAATGCATGTTTTTTTCACATTCACTGCTGTATCTTTAGGGATCTGGGATGGAAGTAGTAGTACTAAAGTATCTGTAAAAGGAATGGAAAATGGAAAAGAAAAATTGCCCCAGTTCCTGATTTTTATATGTGATATTATCAGATTATTAAGACTGATGCATCAGTGCATAAGCAGTATTTTATTGTTGCAGCTGGTGGAGGTGGAGTTAGTTTTAAATACTTTATATAAGGTCACAAGATAAATCCGTCAAGAGAGGCCTATTGTGGTAGTTCTACTACAAAAATTTAAATTTATTCTTTCTTTAATCTTTACTTTTTGGGATAGATTGGATAGATTGGATAACTTGGATAACGTAAAAATCACTCTTTGGTCGAACTGCTGACAACTCAAAAACATCTGAAACAAAGGTCCTTTTATATAAGGGGTCATAAGCCTTTATAGTCTAGTATTGTTCTCATAGATTTTACATCCATTTTCTTGTCTTGATATACTTTACTGTGACATGTCTCACTCAGATACTGTAATACATACCATATATTTCACACATTATTTTAAATAACATCTAGGGATGTAACTGGTTGAGTAATGTGCTAAATGATATTCTAATTCTCAGCACTGTACTGTGCAATCCAGTGTGCTTTTGTAATGGAGTTAGGGTGATTCTGACGACAGTACCACATATGATGTCACAGTTACAGTCCTGTCTGTAATCCCCGCAGGCCTGATGTCCCCCACGCTGGCTCCCACTGCCGTCCCAGCTCTGGCTCCAGCCTTCGCTCCTGCCCCGGTGCAGAACGACCTCCTGGAGTCGGGCTTTGATGCTCTGGGCTCCCTTACCTCTCCAACACCACCTGTACCTGCTGCAGTGGCAGTAGTACCAATAGTACCAGCTGTACCAGAACCAGCAACCACCACACCGGCGCCCTCTGGTGGCTTTGATGCTTCAAGTAAGTGGCTCATAATATCTTGTAAAAGATGTATTTTCCATTTTTGTTTCACTTCAGTACTCTGTTCCATTGTCATGCCTTGTGAAATGTGAAATATTAGAGAATTTCAAAAGCTATTTTAAAGGTCTCCTGCTTGATGTCCTTTAATGTGCTCTGACTCATTAAAACTGAGCTACCTTAACCATGACCTAGTTTTCTCTGCTGGGAGTTTGACTACTGCATGAATGACACACTGACATGTGCTGCTGTCACTGTCCTTATTGCTGCTGACTGCTTAACTCCTCAGCACTGCTGCCTCTCTTGCAATGATTCTTCTTTTTCTCTCGATCTGTTCTCTTGTACTTCTCACACTCTCATAAATGCTGTGCTTTTTCCACCTTCTGCTCAACCCCCCCGCAATCTTTCTTTTCTTTTTGTTTTTTTTGCTACACTTTCTCTTCTGCTCCATTTTTTTTTCCTCTTCACCCCTATCCACACTCCTTCCACTCTGCTGGCTCATTGCTTGCTTCTTCTAATCTGTAATTGGTGAGTTCAACCTCGCTGTGCATTGCAGTTTGGACACGTCTCCCTTTCTGCGTTTTTGCATGTTGCAATAGGACCCCTGATTGTCTCCTGCATGAGACAAGCCTTACTGTATTGTTGTTTATGTTTGTACAATGCATTTTTATTTGCCTTTGGTCTTTCAAAGCAGTGTCTCTTAAAGTAATCATATGCCATCGAGGCCCGAGTCTGCAGATCTTCATTCCAATTCTACAGCGCTACAGCAACATATTTCAGTGATATATTTTCCTAAGTGGCCCATTAAACATGATCACATTGTAGTGAAAACCATTAATCCTTGGTTAGAGGTCAGAAACATAAAATATTGACTTGTTTCTGACCTTTTTATAGAGCATGATTAGGCCTTGTGAAGCCTCTAAAACAATGAAAATGAATCATTTGTTCATTATCTCTTAGTGCTGCGGTTCCCAACCAAACCTACTTATACCACAGCGGTTACTTATGCAGTTCATAGATGGTATTTAGAAAGATTGTACAGAAGCCCAATGAATCTGAAACATAGAAATTAGGACTCTAACACCTAGAACACAAAATTATTGGATAAATTGTTGAAATAGCTAAAAGTAAGGGCTAAAAAGTTGCACCTATTCCAACTGATACATTTCTGATCTATTTAAACACACATTTATTGGATGAAAGGTTATCTAAAAGAAGTTGGAAATGTTCTTCTGCCAATCACAGTGGTAGTAGTACAAATACAAACTTGACAAACTGACCTTAACACACCTAAACTCTATTAAAACACTATTGTTTTAATTAATAGGGTTAAGTAATATCCAGTGTCCAACACATTTGGAACATGGTAGGTGATGATGAAGGGTCACTTCATCAACAGTACAGGTACGGCAGTAAGTTCATCTGGGCTATGGTGGTACATCAGACAAAAAAGGTTGGGGTCCACTGCCTTAGTGAATACACCCTAAGCCAACATTCAACAACACAGTGCTTGTGTGTAGTGGTTAGTTGGAATGAAAACCTGTAAACTCTTTGGCCCTGATGACACCTGGTTCAGAACCAGGGCTTTATTCCAAAATCAACTAGTCTTCCTGAGATGTCAATAAGTAAACTTTCTGAGCAGCTAGCCAAGCCAGTGCAGTCCCTGAATGCTCAAATACATTTATGGTACAGTCCTACATTGTGCATGCGATGCACAGCTGACTACTGATGTTGTCACAGCTGGATTGTCCCCTTCACCGTACCATCTGGTCTCACATCTGCCATCTGCCTGTGTTGTAGCTAGATTAGGAATTTGCTGGTTAGTAATCCGTGTTGTTTCTCTGATGTCCCACCCTCTCCCCAAGTGTTGGGGATTGGATTAGGCGACTTGCTGATGCCCGCCGTAACTCCCCAGAGCACCGGCGGCAGCACTGCTGGAAGCACAGCAGGAAGCATGGGGACTCCTGTCGCAGCGGGAGGCATTGCAACCGCTCCTCCCGCCACCCCACCTCCCGGCAAAACCATCGGAGGAGACCTGGACTCCTCACTGGCCAACCTGATTGGAGGTAGACTGCAGATTTTCTTATCTGGAGCTCAGTCATTTCTGGTTATAATAAATACTTGAATGGAAGTTTAACTCATTCTTCTGTCTTTCTCATACTCAGACCTTGGAGTAAAGAAAAAGTAAGTGCGTGTTTACAAATGTGAATTCTACAAATGCACAATGCTGCATGTGTAGGCTTAAACATGTATGCAGAGTCTTTGCAAACAAAATAAAGATTTTAAAGTCTTTAGATTATTTAATTTTATGATATAAAGAGCCACAACACTCTCAAGGCTGATAAAGGTCTCTAGTAGGGATGTAACAATACACTCAACTCAAGATTTGATATAATTCATTTTTTACAAAAAATCTACATCTATCTACTAAATTTATTTTCTCTTATTTCTTTTTATTTCTGAGGAATGTTTATAAACTGCAGAAAAGGCCTGTTTTCTTTTGGGAAGTGAAACTGAATTGGATAAATGAGTGTAGGAAACCTGTGTCCTTTTGTGTGTGGTCACTGCATGTCCCATCTGTTTACCTACAACTGACTTTCTGCAGTCACCGATCCGAATATTAGCAGTAAAATGTGACAAACCGCACAGTAGCCTGAGGTGTATCCTGTGATCTCCTTTAGGGACCCACAGAGTGAGAAGAAGCTGACAGGAGGCGCCAACTGGATGCCACAGGTAGCTCCCACAAGCTGGGGTACACCAGGAGCCCCCATGGTAAGAACAGCATGAGTAGCACACCATGATATCACGCTTCATCTAAAAAGCAGTTTTTCGCTGAGCTTAGAGCTGTACCTACTGCCACAGACTCATACATTTTCCTTTCTCTAAACATCACAAACAACAAAGCTAAAAAAAGCTAAATTTGTTATTGTTCATTCATTTTTGAAACTGTGGTGCAATCATGTGAATGTTGCAGTTCCCACAAGCTGTGGCTTTGTGGCAGAGATTTTAAGCACATACAGGTTTTGCTAATGTACCCTCTTCTTCCTGTCTCTCTCTAGGCTGGTGCGGCCCCTGGAGCTCCTGGGGCACCAGGAGCCGCTCCACCTGGTGCAGCCATGGTGCCACCAATGAGTGCACAGCCTGGCTTTGGCATGGTGAGTTCTATTTTATTCACTGTGAATTCTCTATAGTTTTACTGTGAGCCTCCATCAGCTTTTGAATCTGCAACTCATAACTGTATGTATGTAGATTACAAATACATAATGTCCAGCTCATCTCAAAGGTAAATGATGATTAATCTGCAGAGCTTTCTGAAATCCCAATCTGTTGTGTTGTCCCTGTCTTGCCAGCCTCCTGCAGGAGGACCTGGAGCTCCCATGATGCAACCCATGATGGGGCAGCCTATGATGGGACAGCCCATGATGAGACCTCCCTTCACTGGGGTGGCTGGAGCTGCACCCGGAGCCGCTGCACTAGGAGCACCGGTAACAAAGCACACATAGTAAAGCCCTCAGTGACCAATAAGGCCATTTGTCTACACACACAAGTTATACTTTTATACATCAGTACATCATTTTATGTCAAGAACATTCATTATATCGTCACAAAATGCTTTCCCCACCACTTCGTATCAGGTCAATACAGTTGTGTTTTTCCTATTTCCTCAGCTTTCTCCAGGACTTGCAAGCCAGAGCACCAAGAAGCCCAAGGACCCTCTGGCAGAACTCGACCTCAAGGACTTCTTATAACGCTCTAGGTGGGAGCTCATACAAATAGTATGTGTGAAGTGTTTTTTAGTGCTAAAAGACAAACTGTGAATAAGTATGACATCCCTACTTCTGAATGTTCTGTTTAAATGAAATCTTTGTTGGGTTGCTGTTCCAACTTTCTTTCTTTACACGTTTCAGTGGCATATTGAAAATGAATAGTCTCAAAATTATTTAGATTTCACTGGATCATTAGCTACTCATCACTGCCATTTTGACTGTGCGTGGAGTGCTTGAACCTCTTTTTTTAATCAAAAACAACAAAAAACTACACAACTTTTATGTTGAAATGTTCTCTGCTTCCTGTCTTCCAGCTGCTTTCTTCTCTGGAGCAGGGCCCTCTCACCTTTAACCTGGTGTCTGTCAACATCTCAGGATGCCAGCGATGTTCAGCTACTCAACCTTCTAAGAGCCTCTTTTCTCCACCCCGCCCATCAACACCCCACCCTTCTCCTGTGTGATGTCGTAGCACAAACTGTGAAAGTGAACCATAGCGGATTATATATATATGAGAAAAAAAAAAACAAGTGTGCTTATGTAGATGTACTAATCTTTTGTCTAAACAAAATCACTCAAAACCCTGACAAAAAAAGTCCACAAAAGTAAGTGAGAGAAAGTGAAGGCGTACGTGTTTAGATTTCTTTCTTGTGTTGAGTTGAATGATGGATGTGCTTTGGTGTCCTAAGCTCCACCCACTGCCCCATATGTGTCCCCGCCTCCTTGTGAAGGGGGAGGAGCTCTTCTTTGTCCCTCTCTGATTGGATGGGAGTGGTTAACGAAGCCCCGGTAGATTTTCGGAGAAACATGTTGTGTGTTGTTTACAGGGGTCCTCTTTGATGTACATAGACTTCTCTGGTGAGGATTACGTCTCTATTCTGTATGTCTGTTGAAGAGAAATATAAATGTGAATCTGACATGAAATTGTAAGAAGTCGTGTGATTATCCTTCTATTTCCCGTCATCTTTTGAAAGTATTTGGAAACAAATATGAATACTGCTATATGATTAATATACTGTATATTAAGAAACAACTTCTATGGGCTTCTGAATCATACCAGACCAGGAAGTGATTCTTTTTGTTTGTTTCTTTTTTTACTCGTGGCTCATTTTTCTATGTTTCTTTTGTCTTTTTGTCCATGTTATTTTTATGTTCTGTTTCTTTTATGAATAATCCTCCAGACTGCTGTCCACATTTCCTGGCATTGCTATTAAAGAACATATCTTACTTCCAGATAAAATGTTTTAGTTATTCTCCTCAGAGGTTAACTCAAACTGTCCCTCAATATAACTTTACAAGTGTCTACCTGCAGTCTTGGCACTACCCATGTGGATATGTCTGTTGCCTGTGCTTTAATTATAACTATGACCTGGTCAGTATGGTTATTTTTGTACTCAGAGTAAGTTATTCCATTGCCATACCAAACTCTATGTTCAGACAGATCAAATCGAAACAAAATTAAGTCATGTTAATTTGTGGTTTCAAATAGAGAGAAGAAAGGACTTTGCTCTATTTTAGCTGTGACTTAAAAATGCCATTGCAAAAGTCAGAACCAATCAGGAACATATTAAAGGAACCCTGTCAAGTGTTTTTTTTTTTTTTTCAAAAAACAAAAAGAAATCTGTTTACATTCATTGTTTCTCCCAAAATAAAGCTTTGTGTGTATCCTTGAGGCCCAAAAAATGTGTGGAATCCATTTACTTTATCTTAAAAAACACTTGAAAAGAGGAAAAAACTTTTGCACCTGTTTACAAACAAAACATGGGCCTGCTCATCAAAAAATAGTTTCATTCTGCTACTAGCAGTAAAAAACTCCACAGGGTATCTTTAAGTTCCATGTTACCTGTTGCATCCAGTGCTGTTGGACAAAATGACAGTGTGTATGCCTGCACTGCTGCTTTGACAATGTTACAGTAAATTACCTAAAAGTGAAAACACTTAAATTCAAAACAATAAATTCACATTTGATTGTTGTCCAAACATAATTTTTGATCAAATTGTTCATTTGATTATTGCTGACCTTTGGCACATTGTCAATTGAACAGTACATATTGTAAGTGGCCACATGGGAGTCATGTGTACAGCATGGAAATCCACAGGAGGCCACTGTCCGTCTAGCCATGATCTTGTTTCCCAAAAGCATCTTAACATAAAGCTCCTCTGACCCTGCAGACTTACAATGGAATCAATATGTTGATTTGCTTTCGAAGAGCTTTATGTAACAGAGGTCCTAGTCCTGTGCTGTAAACCAGACTGATGTGAAGCTTACTCTGTATGTTGTCATTTCAGTGGACTGAATAAGCAATTGTTTGTGAGAACCTGATGTGATTCAGAGAAAATAATGGGAGATTATTAACATTTTTCATGACAGAATTATTAAAATGGTATTTTTGTTTAGTTGTAAATTTATTTTATTTTTCGATGACCCTCCCCAGTGCATGTAAGCCCTTTGAGGTGCAATAAATTCAATGACGGATTGAACTGCCCTTTCTTTTTTCTTTTCTTTCATATCACAAATATTATTGAAATGTATGTTTGAAGGAGTATATCATGAATTTATGTCCCACCAAATCAACAGTAAGTAACAGACTGTGCACCAAGGCCAGATTATCAAACTTGGTAAAGTGGGCAAACATCCTGGGCCCCAGACCCTCAAAGGCCCCAAAAGCGCCAGATGCATCGCATGTCATTCCTTGTTGAGTTAGTTAGTTAAACAATTAATTAAATAGTACAGTAACTGTTATTGGTAGTGGTCTCGTAACAATTGTTATCCACAAACCAGTGAATCGTAGATCGGGATCATTGTCACAAACACACACACACAAGTAGTAATCTTGGTTTAATGGTTGGTAGTCTTCAATCGGCATCATTAATTTTACGTATTTGGTATTCAAAAGGAACATAAACAACAATAAAAGTAAAAAATATCACATCCCAGATTAAAATTTATTATATAACAATATTGCTTTTGTCGCATTTTAACCGCTCAAGTAAATTGTTAAATGGTTCAGTCCCATCTTAACTCAACCCAAATATGTAGCCTCACATTAAAGACATAGTTACAGTACTAGGCTATCAAAATATATTCTGAGCCCCCCCTCCTCCCCAAAAAGTTTACAATTCCATAAATTAGCACCACGTCTTCTGGATAAGCACCGATATAATTATGTGCACAACAATGAAACCACATTTCACTGCGTTGCAAGAACAGAGAAAAGATGGTGAGACTCACAAATCAGAAAAATCTTCTATCCAGGATCCATAAGGACCCTTTCTCTATTCAGACAGAAAAATAGTCTTTTTTTAAAAAGGTAGTTGTAAAAAAAAAACAAAGTTCTAGATATACACAATGGAAAACACCAGCTTGTTCAATTAAAATGTTTATAAAAACAGTTATCTCAATATCTCTATATAGTTCATTTGTGAAACAAGTTACATTAATTTCTCCTGGGTCTTTTGTCAAAGCCAATGCTCGCACTCTTTTTTACAGTGGTGGAGAACAATGCAAGTCTCTCCATACAAAGCCTGATTGGAATATAAGGCCAATGTACCAGGACTTTGCTCCCAAACATCTGAATAAACACATTTTCCAACATTAAATCTAAAAAGGTCAAATCTTTGAAAAAAATAAAATAAAAAAGCAAAACTCAGATCAGAATGATCTGTAAATAAAAACAATACATATTTTTTCTCAGTTGTTTTTTTTTAGCAAATAAATTAGAAAAGCTGACGAGCCACAGTTCTCTGGATGCGCTGACGAGTTCCTGTTGTCAACACTGAGTCTGTATGGCTGTTTGTGGGTTGAGTGTGTGTGGGTGTGTGCGTGTGTGTGTGTGTGTGGAGATCAGTGTAGCAGGAGTCACTGGGAGGCACAGGAGGTAACAGGGAGGCAGAAGGACTAGAGGCAGTAGTTGGGCCCCTGGTTGGGAATGACAGAAGGGTGAGGATAGTAGATAGGGTGTCCCTTGAATAGAGGTGGGAATGGGAGAGGGGTGGTGGTTAATGGGGGATCCTGTGTTGTCTTAGGCTACCTGGCACTCACTCGAGTCCCCGTGGACCCAGTAGCAGATCTGGGCATATTTGAGAGGTGTTATCCTCACCGCCACGTTGTAATCCTGCTGCGTCCCATCCCCGTTTACATCCACCCACTGGTGACCTGAGAAAACCCCAATGATCTTCCTCTTCCACTTCTTCTTGCCTGGCTCTTTGAGGCGAATGTAGACCCCAGAGCCGCTGGAACCAGGTTTGGCATCGCAGTATTGGTACAACAAATCATTGGACTCCTCAGAGACGGAGCAGAACCGGTACACCAGGTTGCCAGGCCGGTCATCATCAAAGCCAGAGAAGTGGATCCTTCCGGCAGGGAGCTTCTTGAGTGAGGGGATAACACCCAGATCCATGTGCTTGACTTTTGGGGCTTTCTTCAGCTCCAGAACAGCGTAGTCATAATCCGCAGCCAGTCCGTCAGACACACCTTTGAACCAGCCCTTAGGCACCTGGGTCTGCTTGACCCTGGTCCACCTAAACGAAGGTTTCTCTGATTCCACACTTCGCCGACTCCGGCTCTTTCTACCTTTCCCTTTTCCTTTACGGTCCCCTTTCCCACCATTCTCTTCTTTTTCCTGCACTTCCTCTTTATCTTTGTCTCCCTTTCTCCTTTTGCCCTTTCCTCTCCCTCCTCTCCCTTTGCCTCCTTTCCCTCGTCTGGACTTTTCTTTCAGAATACCAACACGCAGCTTCTGCGCCCCATCTAGATAATCCTTCCCGTCATGGATACAGTGGGCAGCGGTCAGGACATGTTTAGGTGACACGAGAACCCCAGAGCATCCTGTGGAGATCTTCACAGAGGTGGAGAAGGGATATTTGGTGGAAAACTGCTTATCAGAGATGGTAAAGCGAGTATCTGTGCCATACACCTCTCGCTTGTGGCGGGAGCTAGACGAGATGTTTCTGGACCAGGCAGTCACCTCGTTGAGACCCTGCACAGAGACTGAAGTGTATGTGCGTGTACCATTCTCATAAACCGTCTCGTAGGACAGGAACTGCTCCAGGTCATCCAGAGAACTGGCGGGGAGGCGACGCTGACACTCAATCCCACAGGTCCCACTCAGCTCCGGCTGAGGACGGGCTGAGAAGTTTGGGCTGCTGAGAGGCACAGTACGCCTTTTTCTTACCAGAGGCACCTTCCATTGCGGCCAGGTATACTCATCGTCGACTGCGTTCTCCTCAGCAGCAACAGCCACCACCACAGCCAGCACCGTCACCGGGAGCAGGACACACAGCGGTATGGGGCCCATTGTTAAGTTGGGCCTGGCTCTGAAATGTAAAGAGATAGACTCATTGAAACTTTGTGATAGATGTGAAATGATTCAAAGATCTATAGTTCAACTATGGGATGGATTGCCATGAAATGTCATAGCATTCATGGCCCTTTCCAATATGTTGTCCAATACTTTAGTATATGACCCAACACCTGCAAAACTAATACCATTCTCATCATCAGCAGCTGTACTTTGTGTACATTATACCTCCTAACATCAACATGTCAGCCTTGTGAGCATGTTAGCTGATGTGCTATGCCAAAGTACAATCTCACAGAGCTGCTAGCATGGCTTCCATGTTTATTTAAGCTAAACAATCACATCACCAGTTAAACAGATTAGCATGTGACTGCCTCACCTTTCATAATTAGTCATACTGCGTCTGACTGTCTTTAGTCTAAATAAGTCCAGCCTGTTGCTTGTGTAAAGTTTCTTTCTGTTTCTGTAAAAGATAATGTTATTAGCTCCACAGCCACCTATTTGCAACAGTTTTCACATTGTGTTTACAAAAAGCTACTGGTTTGGTTTGTGACACTGATGATTTTGTGGTACTTGCTTAAGTAGCTACTAATCACGTCTGCTCAGTAAGGCAGAGGACATACAGCACTGCACTGCAGACAAATGATTGTGTTTGGAATCCTTAATCAGCTTTAGGAACATCCAACATGTGGGAAAACTCAGATTCCTCTAAACTGAGAAGGTTTTATATACAATGTTGACGCCTCTAGGTCTGCAAAAAAAGGAAAAAAGGTCCACTTATGGCCACAG